ATTACATCATTTTGTGGTACTTATTTGTGATTATTTTCTTATTTCAATGAGAATTATTTTTCTTTTTCTCATTTAAAAAATATAGAATTAAGAAAAATTATCAACACGAAAATTTCTCTTACCTTTTAATAAAATAATTTTGAAAGTAAACTAATAAAAATCACTATTATTAAATAAGCGAAATGTAATATAAACTTGCAATATGTTCCGTTGAACTGCTAGTCAGGCAAGTGAAGTAGATGTGGACAAATTTTTTTTTTTTAAAAAAAGAAATATTCTGAACAATATATCCAGAGTAATATATATTTTTTAACAAAAATGGCAAGCAAAAGCTTGGAAGGGTTTACAGCCCAAGTGAAACTAATAGACATAACTTAAGCAATCCATTGCTTATTAGCCAAAATTAAATTCCTACAATTCACAAGTTCTTCTATAATGAGAGTGAGTTCATTGCTTATAGAATGAGCACTTTCGAGGAAAGAAATTAGCAAGCTATAATGCCACACGTCTAACATAATATAGCTTTACCTATCTGTGTTGTGAGCAATTGACCACGTGCATAGGTAATTTCCCTATTCAACAGATGATCAGGTGGAATGCCTTTCATCAACAAGAGAATCGCATTGGCAGCATCTGAGTACATAATAGTTTTACCTATAATCAGACGATTGCACACCTCTAATTCTGATACAATAGCTTGGATTTCAGCCACTACACTTGGCATGAATCCTAGTAAACATCTGAAACCCATAATCCACCATCCATTGTTGTCATGGATGACTCCTTCGCATGCTCTATGTCTTTAATCATCCACCGACTCATCAACATCTAATTTGAATGTACCAACAGGTAGACGAATCCAGTGGACTTGGTTAATTCCCTCGGAAGGGAGCTTGCACCTTCCATGACTTTCTTGCATCTAGCCTTTCAAAGTAGCCAGCAGCCTTGATTGAAAACTTTAAACCATATAGCCATTTGGCAAAGGTTCCATTCCTATAGGATGCCGAGAGATTGTTTTTGAGCTAACCCTATAAGTCACCATTAAAAAACACATAATACTAATTATTGTTAATTAAATGTCTCTAGAAGTTTTTTGCCTCACGACAGTCTCTCAGAATGTGTAGGACACTATCTTCTCTATTGCATCCAAACACTTATCTCGCTTGACTAATCCTCTTTTAAGTCTTAGTGAGTTGGTAGAAAGTTTTTCTTGGAACACCTGCAAAAAAAAAAAAAAAAGTATCCTTTCACAATGAGGGGATCATCTCCAGATTCACGCTAACAAAACACATTTGGTCCCCTTCTTATCAGGATGTGGATAGATAAAATCTTGTTGATGACTTCGTGTGGTAAAAACAAACAATATTTGTGTACATTCCATTGCCTAGAAGTTGTGATAAAATCAGCCACTTTATCTATCGAGTTAAGTTCAGCACTACTATTGATCACACAGATAGTAATAGGTTGATTAAGTGGTGATCAAAGATCCCACCAAAAGCTAGTATTGCAACCATTCAAGAGTTTTTCCCCGTGCTACCTTTGAACTTATCTCAAACATTGCAAATACTTTTTCATGTAGTAGACATTATCTTCTTTTTCCTATCACAGTCATATCTCCATTGACCATCACCGCATTTGTACTTTTCCCTTAAGCATCCAACCCATGGAGTCGATGGCTTAGTAATCAATACCTAGCATAGTTTCATGATGAAAGCGGTATCTTAGCTTAATAATCATTGGACCATTGATATCATTTGGATTCGAACAACTGAAGTTGACTAAGATTTGGCCGCCATCCTTGATCTAGACCAGCCAGTTGATGTCATCTGAGTTACTTTAAAATTTAAACATAAAATTTAAAATTTAAAATTTTATTTAAAATTCAAACAAAGTCTTTTAATATTATAATTTTAAATTTTTTATATCATCTAAAAAAAATTAAAATTTATAAATTTTAAATGTAAGATTACAAATTTAAATTTTTAACTAAAATTCACCCATTCAAACACAACTAAAGGATTTTTATACAGTTAGTTGTTCTTATTTGTCAAAACCTTAACAACTCGCAAATTATCGTAAGAACATAATTGGAAATATATGGGGAAATTTCTGTGGCCTTCAAATCTATGCTATCCCATGAAAATTTATTGATAGCAGTACGCATTCCTATAACATACTAATGGAAGTCACACTTTCTAGAAGCCAAGAACTGATCAAATTGAGGCCAAATATATTTTTTTCCCTCCTTTTTCCGGAGAAACCATGCTTACTTTTTTTTTTTTAATTAAATTGAAGTCAGCTAAAGTTTATTGGCTCATCGCCCTTTCCTCGTCGAATATTCCCGCGTAGAATCCACGTCAGCGTGAGAGGGGGACTTTTGACGCGGGTCTACATACAAGAGGCGTGTCGTTTAAATTATTTAACTAAAATTTTAACAATTTAAAATTTATTTAATATAATAATAATTTTCTTATATTAAATTTTAACCATTAAAATTGAAATTTAAAAGTAAGAAAGGTAGGAGAAATTAAAAGAAGTAGGAGCGAGTCCAGTCAAACATTATGAATTACTTTCTCTGTTTAAAAATATAAATTATTTTTAATTGAATTTTATCTCTCAATAAAATAGTTATCTATTTTTAAATTAACCCTATTTTTTTATATTTATCCCTATTAAATACCTTATAATAAATAAAAATCATTATCAATAGGGATACTTTTTAAAAAAATAATAATTATACCTCAAAAGATTAAAAATGCATTACATTTTTAAACATTCAACTCCTCAAAAAATACTTTATATTTTTAAATGGAGGGAGTATAAAAGTATATTTTATTTTACAAACGCTGGATGCTCATGATACCATCATCTCTCATCTTTGGAAGAGGTCTTAGACTCAATTTTGGTCTTGACATTATTGTAAGACAAACTTTATTTTTTCACCCATTAAAAATTAATTATAAGGATATTTCAATCCATTTTTTAATAATTACTCCCTATTTAAAAATGTAAGGAATTTATATATAGTATTTTTAATGTTTTAAATTGTAGTTAATGCATTTTTCCCCCAAAACAATCCATAATAAATAAATTATTTTGTATTTGTTTTTAAATAAAATATCATGTTAAATAGGGATAAATATGAAAATATAATATTATCTTAAAGATAATTAACTAATTATTAAAAATTATATTCAGTTAAAAATACTTTATATATTTTAATGGATGGAGTATTATAATTATCTAATTTTTTAAACCATATGATTTTATTGTCTGTTTATATGGCGGTAATACGTAACATGATTCATTAAAACTCTAGTCTCTCTATATGACATGAAGTCCATTCTAAATGAGATAGATAAGATCATAACTCATAAGATAATTCTTACACCTTAAACTAATAAACTCTAGCCTCAATCTGGCATAATTTTTTTTGAACTGCCGTGAGAAGCACAAAATTGAGGTTGAGATCTTCACCGGTGGAGCTCCTTCCGGCTCCCGCTAATGGATGGTGTCTGCTCTGTTGCAAGGAAAAACCAGGCCAAGTGGTGAAACTTGAAATCTTGGATCTTTTTGATAAGATTCAGACGATTCACCTTACCTGGAACAAGGGAAAATCTTACTTTGACAAGGTTCTTTGAGAACGATTGCTTGCTGTGAACTCTTCTATTCTGGATGAAGGCTGTCTCGATAAGCGAAAATATGCCGTTGTCAGATCTCAACATTGCATGCTCTCGGACTCTCGGTCGTCCATGGAGAGAGACATCCAGCATCCCCTTCTCTTGTTCTCGCGAGTCTACGACTTTCGATTTCAGAACCCACCGCGTCTATTATAGAATACCTTTTAATTTTTAATATAAAATAATTAATAGATATTAATTATAATTTTTTAATACTACTCTCATTTAAATTTATTAACTATAAAAAAAGATGTAATACAAATTTTAAAATTTGTCATTTTAATAAAAGTAAAATTAACAAATTTATTATATTTTTCAACAAAATAACTCTACAGGGGATTGGTGGGAAGGGAGTACTGCCCCTAGCGAACTGTGTTTCTTCTTTGTTTCCAGGGACCGGAACCTCTCCTGGTTCCAAAATTCCGGTGATGATACAGGTGCAAATCCTTACCTTTCATTTCTTCCCATTCAATCCAATGGCAGTTGCTCTGCCCGCTCATTTCTCGACAGCGACATTTCTGCAAAAGTTAAGGCATGGAGACAATGAACGAGTCAATGATAGTGAGATCTTTAATAAAAAAATTTTATAAAATAAATTATAAATATTAATTTAAACAATTATTAATAATTTTTTTATCATAATTTAAAAATTATATTTAATATTAAATACATATTTATAATTTTAGTTTTTGAATTTATAATAATTTAAATCGATATTATTAACTTATTTATTAAAAGAATTTGTTGAACATTTAATTAGTATTAATTTAATATTTTAAAACTTAGCTATCATTTTCCAAAACTTTGCAATGTCAAATCTTTTAATTATTTTTGAAAAAATTATAATTTTCATCAATTTTTTAATACTAAGGCCCTGAAGTTGACTCAGTCAATGAATGAGTTTTAATTAAGTCATTTTAATTAATTTACTCTTCATAATAAGTTAATTGATAATTATATTAATGTGTTCACATGTATACGTAGTTTAATGAAAATAAATTAGTTTTAAATTGATTTAATTTTCATCAGTATGATACTTTATGCTGCGTCTTGTTTATTTGTTTTTTAAACTTTTTGTCATAAAATGGTCCAGGGAGATCAGGTTCTAATATTGGTTTATTAGTCAAGAAAGAACCAGCCAGGAGCAGCAATCATTGGATTGAATGGGGAAAAAAAAAAAAAATTGGACGGTGATGATTTGCAGGATCATCACCAGGATTTTGAAATCAGGAGAGGTTCCGATCCCTTGTTTTCCAGTCTCACATGTCCATTTATATATATTCGCGGAAAGTTTTGATTGGAAGATATCAAAGTCTACAACCTAGTGGCAGAGGATTGTTGACTGAAGAATGGCATTTGATCACGATGCCTTGCTCTCAAATGCCTACTTTCCTTCATTAGACTAGATGACATTAGGATATCTGTCTCACAGACACTAACATGAAACTAAACTTGAATCTCAATTTGTTCCTGAGTTTGATGTGGCTGTCCTTACAGTCCACAGATGCAATTACGTACAGAGAAACGTTGGGGATGGGCCAATTACTGGGAACCTCAGATACTTTGGTGTCTGCTAACGGGAACTTCGAACTGGGGTTTTTCGCTCGTGAGAATTCGACCAAGTACTATGTAGGGATGTGGTTTAAGAAAGTTCCTAAAGATAACATTGTTTGGGTTGCGAATAGAAAGCTCGCCACCAGCGATTCCAATGCCGTTCTCACTGTTAATGAGGAAGGAAATCTTGTTGTTAAGAATGAAGGAATGGTATACTTCGTCACCAACATTTCCGGTGTCAGCAATACCCATGCTCTGCTCTTGGATTCAGGTAATCTCCTGCTGATGAACAACTCCAAGTTGAACATTTTGTGGCAAAGTTTCGACAATCCCACGAATACCCTTTTGCCTGGAATGAAGGTAGGATTTGACTCAGAATTAGAAATCAGTTGGTCATTGAGATCGTGGACAAGTGTAGAAGACCCAAGTCCTGGAAATTTCTCTCTTGAAGTTGACACTTCCAATTGGAGGCAGAGGCTAATAATCAGGAGGAAGTCTGAGATATACTGGGTTGGCGATGAACTATCTAATTTCACGTTTCAAAGTTCTAATAACCGAGACGGTGCTATATGGGACTTGGGCTATTTAACTTGGCAGGGGGACTATTCTTCTCGATTGGTTCTGGAAGTTTCTGGAGAGCTTAACCAGCAATTATGGTCACAAGACACCATGCAGTGGGTTTCTTTGCTGTCATCCAAGTGCGGGAGAAACGCAACCTGTGGAAATTTTGGCATTTGCAACCCGCAAGCCACGGACCCTTGTGAGTGCCTCCGCGGTTTTAAGCCGTACGATGAAGATTCTTGGAAGAAAGGGGACACATCCGCAGGTTGCGTGAGGAAAAATGAGTTATGCAGTAACATGAGCAGCAATGGATTGGGTGACGGGTTTTTACCAGTCGATAGAGTGGATTTTCCTTTAGACAGTCCGCTTGCCTTCAAGACTGAGAACGCTTTAACATGTCAAAAAGATTGCTCAATCAATTGTTCTTGCGTCGCTTATGCTTACGATGTTATGGGTCGTTGCTTGTTCTGGCTTGATCGAGTGTTGAATCTGAAGAACATCTCGGTTGATCTTAGAGATGATAATTCTAGACCAAGTTTCCACCTCAAACTGGCTCGCTCTGAGTTGATTGACAATGGTATGATGGAGGAAGCTCTTATGACTTGCATACGAACCGCCCCCCTTATTTGGGAAGATTATGCTGATTGTAATTTGCTTATTGCTCTATGCAGAGTTGAATACAGAAAAGAATCCTGATCATAAGTCTAATCAGAGCCAGAAAGTGGTGCTAACAATTGTCGTAGTTATCTCATTTCTTTCGTTGTTTACACTAGTCCTATTTGCATACTACTGCCGGAGGAGAAAGCTTGGGAGAGAAGGTAAGAAAAAATGTATAAAGCTTTGAATATGAATGTTAATAATGTGAAGTCACAAAAAGAGCTAATTTTCCTCTCACTGTACAGCGGAGGATCTGCTATTGTTTGATACAGGCATGAGCATGAAAGTTGAGATCTCAGAGCTTAGCGATGTCGATAAGGTTGGGAGAGTTAACAAAAGGGATGTCAAATTGCCATTGTTTAGTTTTGCAAGTGTTTCTGCAGCAACTAATAACTTTTCACCTGAAAATAGGCTTGGTGAGGGTGGCTTTGGACCTGTTTACAAGGTAAGATCCAAGTTCAAATCCTTTAGGTCCACAACAGAGCTTCTTGAAATAAAATGAACACGTAAAGACTAATTTGTAGGGTCAGCTGTTGAATGGGGGTGAGGTTGCTGTGAAAAGGCTATCTGCAAGATCTGGTCAAGGATGGGAGGAGTTGAAAAATGAAGCATTGCTCATTGCAAAACTCCAACACAACAATCTTGTTAGGCTTTTGGGTTGTTGCATTGAACGTGATGAAAAGATGCTGATTTATGAGTTCATGCCAAACAAAAGCTTGGATTTTTTCCTTTTTGGTCTGCACTTTTTTTTTAATCTCAATTCTTAACCTGTATGTGGAATTTTCTCATTTTATTTTAAACTTGCTTCACGTATAATGCAAAACAGATGCAACAAAACGCCGGATTCTCGACTGGGAAACCCGAGTTCGAATAATTGATGGGATTGCTCAAGGTCTTCTCTATCTTCATCAGTATTCTAGGTTTCGAATCATTCATAGAGATTTAAAAACTAGCAATATTTTGTTGGACATCAACATGAATCCCAAAATATCAGATTTTGGAATGGCAAGACTATTTGGTGGAAATGAATTACAAGCAAATACAAACCGGATAGTTGGTACTTAGTAAGTCTAACTAAAAGTTCCTATTAGTCTATAAAGTAACGATTTTTTTTAGTAGATCAATTCAATTGCAAATAAATATACATGTATTTTATAGGTATATTCCACTAATAAGTATCTTATTTGTTCATTGATGGCTTTCAGTGGTTATATGTCTCCTGAATATGCATTGGAAGGCATTTTCTCAATAAAATCAGATGTGTTTAGCTTTGGAGTCCTTTTGTTGGAGATAATAAGTGGGAAAAAGAATACTGGTTTGTATAACACAAACTCTCTCAATCTTCTCGGATATGTAAGTATCTAACTCAGAATCAATTTCTTATTTCTGCAAGTTCAGAATTGATTGATTATATGAAAATTGTGATTTCTAGAAGCCAGCAGAGATCGGTTACTTATTGCCATTTTAATGTTGGGTTCTTCATTTCTTTGTGGCTTTAAAGGCATGGGACCTATGGACAAGTGGGAGAGGAACAGAGCTGATGGATTCAGCATTAAAAGATGCATCCATAAAGAAAATGGTGTTACTAAGATACGTGAATATAGCACTGCTTTGTGTTCAAGAAAGTGCAGTAGACAGACCGACCATGTCTGATGTTGTTTCAATGCTTGGGAATGAGAATGTCGTACTGCCTTCTCCTAACCCTATAGCTTTCCTGAATGTAAGAGGTATCAGGACTTCAAGATCAGAAGGAAGCTCAACAGAAAATGTTTCTATCAATAACATGACTGCTTCTGTTATGGAAGCAAGATGAGCTGGGACTTCCTTACATGTATATTACTTCTTAGCAAACATTGCAGGTTTGCATTATAGGATGTCTCTACTTCATTTTTTGTTATATCTCGGTTAACTTGTATTATAATTAGGAATCAAGCAAGGATTACCAAAGAAAATCATAATATATAAGGTTATTGTATTATTTACATAGCTGATTAGCTAATTTCTGCAAGTCTGTGTGTTGCCCCGTGTGTTCTGCTCAAAAACAGAGGGAGAAAGAAAGGATACAAATCAAAGTTGAAATGCATGAGTATTTTCTATAGTGTTCTGTTACTTTGTATACTGATCAATCATCCAAAGCCGCCAGTTTTGAATTTATTGGTGCTTGATAAATTTTAATGCCTGCTGTTATGGTTGACAAATCAGATGTCTAGTTCCTTGTCATCCTAACAAGTTAATTTATTGATAGCAGTCAGCATTCTTGTAATCTATTTTTGTCATCCTCTTGCGCTTGTGTAAACTGACAATTTCCAAAAACTAAGGACTGATCAGTGATCAACATCAGGCCCAAAAATAAAAACAAGGCTGGTCATATTGTTTTTTTTTTTTTAAATTGTGTCAGTTAAAGTTGGTTGGCTCACCACGCTCTTCTTGACTATGTTCTTACCTGGTCCGTGAGAGACTTTGGTTGGTTGAGGCAGCCGTTTAAGACCTCCAAATGAATTAGGGTTCAGTTTTTCATTTTTGTTTCGAATTGTCACTTTCAACTGAAATCTTCTTGGTCATGTTAGTGGAAGCACAGTGAAATTTACAAATTGGTTGAAAGGTCAAATCTGAAATTAGAATCAAACTTAGTGACTAATTTGATTCTCACGTTTTTCAGGCATGGAGACCCTGGACTGAACAGAGACCATTGCAACTCACTGATAAGTTCTTCCGTGAAGCACCGTTTTTGAAGTCTTATGACGATTTATTCATGTGGGATTGTTTAGCGTTAAGTAAAAGTGAGAAGATTGACTCGACATGTCGTCTGTGGTACTATTATTGAATTAGTAGAAGCTATTAGTAATGCCTATTGCCTAGCACTCCTGGTTTTTACTCCTATGATCCTTATTATAAATTGTTTTTAGTAAACAATAGACCTGTCAACAAAAGCCAGTTGTATTATTAGAATTTAGAATTGTTTAAAAGCAATCCAAAATAAAAAATGTTTAACCATTTAAGAATATTACACCGATTGCATGCATGGTTTTGGTCCTCATTGAAAGCTGAATAATTTGATAAATATCTGCAAATTCACAGTTTATGCTCAGCTAATCACATCATGTTTTTTATGGAAGAGAATTGAGGATTAAGAAAGGAAAAAAAGAAAATTTATTCTATGCATTCTTCTATACGTGGAAATAAGTATGAAAGTTAAAGAGAAAATAAAGATATATATATATATATATATATTATACTCATGTCTATTCTATTTATAAATTAATTTTAACATGTTTTTGCTAAAAATAACAAAAACCTTAAAATTTATTATTTTTATAAAAATTTAATAATTTATATTTTTACTTTTATTAGATATATATTTTAATAATATATTCTTTTAATATTTATTAAAAATAGAAAGAAAAAAATTATAATAAAAATTTTAAAACATGCCTCAGCCTTGTAGATAATTGTCTATATATTGACTGGAGTTAGCTGGCTGTTGGAGTATACTTTGTTTATCCTTATATATAATCTATTTTAAAAATTTATTTTATCTCTAAATATAAAGAGTATCATGATATTTTTAAATAAGTAGATATTTTTATTCTTATCTTAAAAAATAAAAAAATATTAATTATATATTTTACTAGCCGTTATTAAAACTTCACATAAAAACTTAAAACCTGATCAGCCATGTCCAACTCAACAAGACCTGGTGTTAAAAAATGCAATCAATCGAGTCAGCATGAATCATTGGGTAAGACTAATCTAGGATGGATTGTTTAGACCATTTGGTTTGACTTGATCCAAGTGCCTGTATTTATTTTTTAAATATATATAATTAAATAAATTTTTACACTTTATTCCTCAATTTCCCTTCTCCCGTTTGATGACATTATCACTATCCTCTTCAAAATTTCACTTTTGTCTTCGTGTTCATCAGTTCACCCTCCCCTTCCTTGATCCTCTCTCTCCACCTTCGCCTTTCTCTTCCGTGTCCTCTACTTTGTGAAAGAGTAGATTTCGGATTATTAATGTATGATGTACTTTTGATTATTGTCAGTCTTTTGAATTTGGCCTTTGAATTATTTTTTTAAGAGGAAATTTTGTTAAAGAATGAAACTATAGGTAGAGCAATTGTATTTATTTATTAGTTTCCTTCTCTTATAAAAAACCTGAAACTTCTTTGGAGATTTAAGTAAATTTGGCTACCGATTCTTCAATTTTTTAAATATGATTTTTGGTTGAGTTCTTTTATAGCTTTTCTTTTGGAAATACCACATCCAAAAACCTTTCAAAACAATTATTTATAGATAAAAATTAATATAAAATTTTTTATTGCTAAAATGATAATGGAAATTTATTTTTTTAAATGATAACTTGTCATTAATCTTATTTATGAATAATTTTCTTAAAAAGTCTGAATGCACTTGTTTCTTGTCTTTTTTTTTTTTTTACTCTTTAAAATAAAAAAGAGGCACCGTAAGCTAGTCTTTTAGTCCAACAAAATAAGTCTAGTTTGATCTGGTATTGAGTTATCGTTAGGTTGGACTAGATCATGAACTGAAATACCTAGTCAAAAATATTTCATATCAAACTTCAAGTTAGGCATGAATCCTAATTTAAAATTGTCTGAAATTAATTGTGATATTATTAAAAATAATATTAAAAAAATTATTATAATGTCACCTGATTTCAATCAAAGTAACAATTTTTTATCAATGTACGAGAAGGAGGGGCAGCAATTATTAGATTGAATTGATACAGGTTGGGTGGGGGATTATCCTTTTCATAGTAAACAGTTCCATTCTGCTTTCCCGTTCTTGGTTTCTAGCTATTCCTCTCTCCCTTCCAGCTGGAATGCGGATTTTCTACGCTTCAGGGGCGGCTTGTCACGAATGATATTTTCATGACCGTATAAAGACTAAGATAATGAACGATTCGCTGGTTAGACTCACATAATATGGGTAAAGGGGGCGACATTGGCATTGGGTGCGTTCTGCGTTAGTCTTCAGGCTAAGTGCACAATTGGTCGGGGGCTAGTACCGCCTCCCTATTGAGCCCATGGCAGGGCGAAACCAGTGTGATTCGTATATGGTAAGGCTTGTCCTGAGGATTATGGGGTCCTCGGGACTTCGCACGGGCGCCGTGTGCTGCGCCAGACTCTCAACCCGTGACAGAGTGGTATCAGAACAGGACGTACTTTACTGCCGTGTGCTTGTGGAGTCCCACATTGGGACTAGTCGATCTCGGCACCGCTCCAAAGGCCTGTAAGGTGCAGGTGGGTCCACAAGTGGGGACTCGGGCGGGAAGGTTGGCCGTGGTCGACTCCACTCCTGTTGGCTCACGGGTGCGAGTGGGTCCGAAGAATGCAAGACTCGGGTGGCCATTCAGCAATAAGCTGATGTGTTTGTGGCAGTACTGTACGGGCGATCCTTGGGGGGAGTCTTTCTCCCCTAGCACGAGGGCGTGCTAAATTGGGTGTGGGAAAATGTCACGAATGATATTTTCATGACCGTGTAAAGACCAAGATAATGAACGATCTGCTGGTTAGCCTCGCACAATATGGATAAAGGGGGCGATATTGACATTGGGTGCGTTCTGCCTTAGTCTTCGGGCTAAGTGCACAACTGGTCGGGGGCTAGTGCCGCCTCCTTCATGAGCCGCTTCCCTGATGAGCCTATGGCAGGGTGAAACCAGTGTGATTCGTATGTGGTAAGGCTTGTCTTGAACATTATGGGATTCTTGGAACGCCGCACGGGCGCCGTATGCTGCGTCAGACTCTCAACCCGTGACAGGCTGCTCACGATACTAGCCATCGGCTTGAATGGGTGATGCTCTTGTGGCCTTGTGGTTGTCCATCTTTTGAACCCATTAAACACAGCTTGCTGGTTTCATGAATTTCGAAGCTGAATCTACGCACACTCAGAAATTACGTTTTCCTCCAGTTCTCTCTAGCTTCGCTGAGGGTTAATATTAGTTCACTCTTCTCGTAAGCAAAACATAAATGAAACTTACTTCAACCTTCACTATCCCCTCTTCACCAGTTATTTGCAGAAAAAATAAAGCTTCCTTCCATATCCCCTTGAAAAATAATATGCCAGAGCTACATTGTTTGTCCGCAAAACTCCAGCCATTCTCACCAAATGAAGTTTCTCTCACAATAGCTAAGACAGGCAATGAAATCCTTGCTAAATGACAATGTTATATATTTTATCAATGAACTAATCAATCACTTAATTACTCGGTTTCGTAGAAACTTCCGTCAGATATACGGTTAATTTAGAGATGGGTGAATGCTGGCTAATCTAGATATAATATTGAAATAGGAAACACTGAAAAAGCATGGTACTGGGGGTTTGTCTATGGAGTCGGATATGGCAGGCGAAGGTACAAGACAGATTTAGCCTTAGAATATTTTAGTTGCCGTGCCGTGTCTCATTACTCGTGCACGCACATGGCCGCTTTATACTTTATCCCCTCGCCTGAAATTATTTTAATAAAAAATACAAATTGAGTCCCAAAGTTCTCTCCAATCTGCGTTGCCCTCTGCACTAAAATACCCCTCTAAATTATGTTCTCCGGATCATTATCATCAACCTTCAAACCAGCTCCACATTTGACTTGTTGCTGCTGCAATGGCCTCAAGTTAATCTTCACTGATTTCTGTCGATCTTCTTAGTGGCTACGTTCCTTTTTTCGGTCGAAAGTGGCTAGGTTCACCAGGGTAAACCAGAATGTGGATATCATTATGTTATTTTAGATTAAATGCGAATTTATGCTTATATTATGAATTGCTTTTAAAAATCCCCTTGAAAAGCGCTGTAAAAATCAGTTATTTGCTGTACTGCAGGAATTCATAAAGTGGAGAAGAAATAAAAGTAGAATAAATCGTATTTCGGTTGAAAATGTCATAAACAGCAACAAATCATGCATTGAAAGCACTTTTCACTGAGACCCACATCCTTTATACCATTACCCTTCAACCATCGCAGCCAGGTCTGTATCTTGCTTCCTTGACATTTTCCGGGCGGCAAAAGATACATATTGGTGCATTATATTTAATGGTAATGAAGAATTTTCCTGTACTGCCTATTTGCATTGCTTTACTCTTCTTTAGAACCTCCACTTCATTAGACAGTATCACTCCGAGTCAGCCTTTAAGAGATGGTCAGACCTTAGTTTCAAGTGTAGGAGCATTTGAGCTGGGTTTTTTCAGTCCTGGAAAAACGAAGAACCGATACGTGGGTATATGGTACAAGCATATTTCTCCTTTGACAGTGGTATGGGTGGCCAATAGAGAAGCCCCGCTCAGTGATGGCTCGGGAATTTTAGCAGTGAACGATCAGGGAATTCTTGTCCTGGTGGATAGCACAAATAGGACTGTTTGGTCATCTAATAATTCTATAATAGCTGAGAAGCCAATTGCAAGGCTCTTAGACACAGGAAATCTTATCATTAGTGACAAAAGATACAGTGATAAGGATCATTTCATATGGCAGAGTTTTGATTATCCCTGTGATACCTTATTGCCAGGAATGAAGCTTGGACTTAACCTGGTCACTGGTCTGAATAGGTTCCTATCTTCTTGGAAAAGCCCAGATGATCCTAGTCAAGGGGAACATATACTGAAATTATACCCTCAAGGATATCCACAATCATTTCAATTGAGGAGAAACGTCATACATTTCAGAGCAGGATCGTGGAATGGCCTTTATTTTACTGGATATCCAGTTCAAAAACAAAATCCAGTATACATGGCTAAGTTTGTTTTCAATGATAAAGAGGCATATTATGAGTATGAACTCGTGAATAGTTCAGTTTACTCCAGAATTACAATGTCTCCTTCAGGCATGGGGATGCGTTTAGTATGGAGTAATCAAAGAGGCATGTGGGAGATTATCTCAGCTAACATGGCAGATCAGTGTGACAACTATGGCTTGTGTGGGGCATACTCTATCTGCGATTTTAGTAGCTCCAGTGTCTGTGAGTGCTTGAAAGGATTTATGCCCAAAAATGTGGAACAGTGGAATATATCAAATTGGTCCGGTGGATGTGTTCAAAGTGCTCAAATGGATTGTAGCAGTATAGATGGCTTCCGAAAGTATAGAGGTGTGAAATTGCCAGACACATCTTCGTCCCAGTTTAATAAGACCATGAACCTTGAGGAATGTCAACAATCATGCCAGAGAAATTGTTCTTGTACAGCATTTGCAAATTTGGATATCCGTGATGGAGGAAGTGGCTGCTTACTTTGGTTTAATGATCTGATTGACATGAAGCAATTACCTCAAGGAGGACAGGACATTTTTATTCGTGTCCCTGCTTCAGAGTTAGGTGCACTCTTCTTCCTTGTTTATGCTGTTTCTTGTGTGTTTTCATCCTATCTCTTTAACCTTTATGACTCCTACTTGTTTGATCATGATTCAGAGTGATCCCCACCCTTACCCCCAAAATGAAAAGAAGGGTGTAATGGAGCGGCAATTTCCATGATGATACTGATGGCTCTTTCAGTTCTGCTATATGAAATGTCATCCACAAGCAACAACAACAATACAACAATAGCTTAAACAAGAATATGAGTTAAAAGTTTTTGGTATTGATCACGTGCAAAAAAATACAGTGCTTGTTGATCGATTTTTCAGAAAATTTCCATCTATTGTCAATTTTGTCTGCAGCATCAAGAGATAATTGCAGTTTGCTTTAATCAGATCTTGTTCTCTCAACTGTTGTTAGCATCAATTGAATCGTTGTGATCAAATTCGTCACTAATAGTACTCTCCATTTGGCAGACTTTTTTGAGAATAAACGCTATGGAAACTTCAATAAGAGAAAGCTCCTAGGAATCGCTGTTGGTTCTGTTGCAGTAAACATGGGCATGATGCTTATAATTTTGGGATTGATTAAATGTGTATGGAAAAGAAAAGTCAAAAAGTCAGGTGAGCTTCAACATCTTCTGAGATCTGAGATAACCCCCTAGAAGGCGCAAAAAGGAGATACGTTTCGTCGTGGTACTTAATTTTTGGAATTTGTTATTTTACACCATTGCAGGGATGACAAAAATATGTCATAAGAATCCTTGCTACAGTAAATTAAGAATGGAAGACACGGATCTACAGATATTTGATTTGTCAATCATTGCTAAAGCCACTGATAATTTTTCAAGCGCCAATAAATTAGGAGAAGGTGGCTTCGGACCAGTCTACAAGGTAATGTAAAATTATCGTTTTCTTTTTTCTTTTTACCTGAAGGAAGTATAACATTATTCAAATAAGTACAGTTTTATATTCTAGAGATTTCTAATTATTCCATATGATGAATTGAAGGGCGCTTTGGGAGATGGACAAGAATTAGCAGTGAAAAGGCTATCTGAGAATTCTGTTCAAGGTTTTGAGGAGTTCAAAAATGAAGTTTTGTTGATAGCCAAACTTCAACATCGTAACCTTGTGAAACTTCTTGGTTGCTGCATTGAAAGAGAAGAAAAATTGATCTATGAATACATGCCGAATAGAAGTCTAGACCACTTTATTTTTGGTATGAACCTTTATAGGTTACAATTGAACATCTTTGGCAATGCTCTGTTTTCTTATCTTTAGTATTTGAATGCTAAGACCGCAAGAGGTATGATAAGCATGTCTCTGTAATTCAATAGATGAAAGTAGAAGCAAGGTGTTGGATTGGACAGAGCGTTTCCACATAATTAATGGCATTGCTCGTGGACTTCTCTATCTTCATGAAGATTCTAGATTAAGAGTCATTCATAGAGATTTAAAAACAAGTAATATTTTACTAGATACAAATTTAAATCCAAAAATATCAGATTTTGGCCTAGCTCGAACATTTTGGGGAGATCAAATTGGGGCCAAAACAAGCAGGATAGCTGGAACATAGTAAGATTTCCTTTTCATGATTCATTGTTCCTATGACTGTATTTACATTAAACTTATTTCAATTTACATGTTACTCTTATAGCGGTTACATGCCTCCTGAATACGCTATGCATGGACATTTCTCGATAAAATCAGATGTTTTCAGTTTTGGAGTAATAGTACTAGAGATGATCAGTGGAAAGAAGAATAGAGAATTTTCAGATTTAGAAGACTTCTTGAATCTTCTAGGATATGTAAGTTTAATGATTTAACTTCCTACCCGATTCATTAAATCAGAATATGGCTTTTACCTTACTAATATGATTCCCGCTCTTGCTTTCAGGCATGGAGACTCTGGAGAGAAGGAATGGCCCTGGAATTAATGGATCAAGCATTAAGAGAAAGATTCAATCTATCCGAAGTCATGCAATGCATACAAGTGGGCCTGTTATGTGTGCAGCAAAGACCAGAAGATAGACCAGACATGTCATCTGTGGTTTTAATGCTGAATGGAGAGAAATCATTGGCCGACCCAGGTGTTCCCGCTTTCTACATTGAAAGTAAAATGCCTGGAGCAGATTCTTCCTTGGAAAAATGTAAACCTTCCTCACCAAATGAAATGTCCCTTACAATATTCGAGGCAAGATAGTATAGACTAAGGCTCTACTTACCTGAATGGAAAACGTTCATCAGTAGAAAATCACTCTCATTGTGCTGCGAAACATGATAGTAAGTCCTAAAACTATGATGAAACTTCTACATTCGATATAAACATCTAAACCAGGAGTTGGGCCCTGCTTGACGTACATCTTGTCTTCAGTCGTCTTCCTGAGAGACGAGGGCACACCAGTTGCTCCGATTGTCTCAGGCCATTTCTACAAGAGCAGAAGAGGGTAGAGGCCTTGTACTTAATTTTCTTTGTCAAACTTCAATATATCAAAGAAATTTTCAGAGACGGACTCAATGTTTCCACTCCCGTGGCCGTTGGTCATGCTAAGCCTAATCATTTTTTCCCCTCCCCCTCTACTTCCTCTGGACGCCATTGATGAGAACAATGATCTTCAACAACGCTATTTTCACTAAATAAGCTACACCTTTTACATTTACTAATTCCTTCAATCTTCTCAAATGCCTCTCCCTTCTCCCAATCAATTTTGGCAGCTTTTGGAAATTCACTTCCTTTCTATCTCAGTATATATAGAATAGGCGAGGAAGTGTTAGGAGCTCAATATTGGGAGGGGGATTCATGACAATTTTACCAGGACTCACTCGACCTTCTATTGAACATAATTCATAATTCTTTATAGGTGTTTTTTTTTTTTTAATAATACCCGCTTATCAACAAAAGTATCATTCATTATGAGCATAAAATTAAAAGAAAAGCTCATCTTAAAAAATTAACATTTTAAATGAAAGAATCTTTAAATTTATAAATCACACTTCACCCTCATTGTGGGGCTCATAACATGAAACCCACCTCAACAATGAGTTGGTTTTGCTGCAGTTTGTACCTTGGTGCCTTTTATTATTTGTTCAGAATGTAACTGGGTTTTTTTTTTTTTTTGGGTAACAATGTCACTCTGTTAGAGTTCTTTCCTACCTCAATTTTATGATTGGCTAAATTTCGCCTCTAAGTTTATGTAATTGTATTTATAGCATAATATCAGCAAGTTTTTTTTTTTGGCTGATATCAGTAAGTTTAAAGTTTAAACTGACCAAATACAAAGAAGTCCAGGATCTTGTTAGGCATAAATTCATAAATTAGCATCCTTTCCTCTGCATGGATGCAACATTTCATACTTTTAAATTTTGAAAATTAAAAAGGGTCGGACAAAAAAAAAAGAATTAAATTAAGAGGGTGAATTAATAATAATTATAATTTTTCAACATAATTTAAATTAATAAAATGAACTATTTTAAAATCTTTAACAGATCAATATACTTAATGGCATTAAAAATTGTAAATTAAAGCATAAGTTTAACCTTAAAGGTTCTCCGTAATTGTAGCAAAATTAAAAGATTGTATTTTACTTTAAATTTAGAGAGAATATCAATAAAAAACTTCAAGAAGAATTTAATATTTTACAAAAATTTTGAACAAATAGAATACTTGTTAACACAATAATTTCACTTATTAATTTGTTAATGTTTACCTGTAAATAATCCTTTTAAGAAATTAAATTTCTTATAAGGTCTTTTATTGATGTTATCCCTTAAATTTATTTATTTACTATATTAAATATGCTTATCTTGTATATACTACATAAAATGTCAAGAATAAAACAAATCATTCATGATCTAGGAATAATGAGATTTTTTTTATGAATATATAAATGTGAGTATGAATTTCATAAAAAGTTATATAATTGATGATATAATTCCTTTGTTAAAAAATATAAGATATTTTTAATCAAATTTTGCTCTCCATTAAAATAGTTAATTGTGTTTAAAATAATATTATATTTTCATATTTACTCTTATTTAATATACTATTTTATTTTAAAATAAATACAAAGTGATGTATTTATTAAGAATATTTTAAAAAATAAATTAATTACACATTAAAATATTAAAAATATTTTATATTTTTTTATGTTTAATCCGTCAAAATGTTTTATATTTTAAATCCAAGTGTGTATCAAAACATTACAACTCGCTTGTGGAGATCACGTCAAGTCATGTTCGCGAAGTAGCAATAAAACAGCCCAAGACTTTCGTTCTTTCTTTCCAAGGAAAAGGAGCGATGAGGAATAGAGGATGAGATAATTGCAAATTAAAATCGTATAGTTTTCGTACTTAATGTCATATTTTTTTATATATTTTTATTTAAAAAAATTATAAATTTTGTAAAATAAACTTATTTACAAATAAATTTTATAAAATTCAAAAATCACAATCAAATCTTTTAAAACTTAAGTGTAATTTGAAATTAAAATATGTAGATAATAATTTTTTTATTAAAAATACATTATATCAAACAAGTAATTTATAACTATTATTTTAATTTTGTATAATTATAATTTTACATATTCAATATTTAAACTAATTATGCATTACAAGTTTTTTATTAATGTATACAATTACTTCAATATTTTATAATTATAATTCACATATTTAATAGTTAATTAAACCAATCATGCCATACTAAAAAAGCTTCATACTAATTATTCACAATTAACATTTTAATATTTTACAACTATAAATTTATATATTTAATAGTTAAACTCATCATTTATTATTACTAAATTTAACATTAATTACTTATAATTATTTTTTTATTAATAATTTATAAATATAACTTTATCACACCTTAATTTTAAATTATATTCATATTTTAAAAAATTTATTGTAATTTTTATAATTTAACGAGACTTATTAATAAATAAGTTTGTTTTGCGGCGCCTGTATAAAATTTTGATAACGACAAAAGAGACAGGGGCGGAGACTTGTGGGTGAACCGTGAAGGAAGGAGTCGAGGTCAAGAGGGTGGGTGGGAGTGGGTACATTTATGATCACGGGCGACCACTCGTTGATATTATATCTTTGCAGCAATAATTTTGTGACTCAGTCATACCCTGTCTCGCTGCTGCACTGTTTTCAGTAACTTTTAAGTTTTAACCAGCCACAATCAATGCGAAGAACTCATGTTTGTCTCCTACTGCAAATGATGCCGCTAAAGTAGTTTTCTTTTTTTATCTTTTTGAGTGAAAAGCGGGCTTCTTTTCATGACGTACGTGCTCCGTCCTTCACTATTTTGCCTGATTTCAAGACTCAAAGTGCAAATCACACATACAATTAACACTATCAGTTAAATATTAGATTGATAATCTCTCATTGTTTTTTTTATTAATTCTCTTATTTTAAAAAATAATTAAAAATTTTATATTATTATTTTATTAATTTTAACTTAAGTTACAAAATTAATATTTCTTATTAATTTAATATTTAAAAAAATAGATGATTTCTCACTAAATTTTTTTACTAGTTTACATTTTTCTAGCAATAATTTAGACAGACAAAGTATATTCATGTAGGCTATCCCAAATAAGCCTTGCTAGCTAAGCTCAGCTAAAACTTTTTGGGTTCTAGCTAATCCAACTATTTGAATTATTAAGTCTTAAAAATTTAAAAATTTTTAAATTAATTTTTACTTTAAAATTGATTATTTTTGATTTTATAAAAAATATAAAATATATTTTTTGGATACTTAAAACATGGATAAGACTCAACTTTTTAAAAAAATATGGGTCTGAAAATTTAAAAACAATTTTAAAATATATTTTAAATATAATTTGAAGATATTTTATAAATTTAAAATGATAAAAATATGACAATGTAAATATTAAAAGAAATAAAAAACAATTAAAGGATTCCAAAATCTCCCTCAACCCAAGACCCTCTTTAAGTCTTTCGCTCTTGCTTTTTTATAGCCAACCACTTTGAGAGCTATGTGAATATCTTTGATTATATTAGTCGTCGGTTTACGTCGTCGACTAACCACTGGTGAAGACAGCGATCAATATCTATATATTTAAATTCTATACATAATTAATACTAGACCATTCGCGTGCGAGTTAACAACAATAGTGCTCATTTTTTAGACTTGAATGCAATACCCACACAAGTAAAATTTAAAATCAAATCATCATCAAGAGTCTTCGACATCAGTCTTGATCTTGCCATCAATGTGGCCTCCAAAGTAGTTGTGTTGTTTTGCCTCGTTAAATCCATTCAAGTTCCAAGTTTATATCCATCAAATTCTGGCTTTTAAATTCCCACAAATCCCTTCAACGATTTCAGTAACCCCCCCCCCCCCCAAACCGTGAGAAAAACGATGGAAAACTTCAGAAAGCTTTCTGTGTATTTTTTGTTACTGTGCTTCACAAGCATGTCCTCCACGCTGGACATAATCACCCCAAGCCAGCCCCTTCGTGATGGTCACAATGAAAGTCTGGTTTCAGAAGGAGGAATCTTTGAAGCTGGATTCTTCAACCCTCAAAATTCAAAGAGCCGTTACGTGGGAATATGGTACAAAAACATTGCCCAGAGAACGGTCGTATGGGTGGCCAACAGAGAGAAACCACTCCACGATGCCTCAGGAGTTTTGCAGGTAGACAGTGATAAAGGAATTCTTAGAATCTTGGACAGCAAAGGGTTTGAAGCTTGGTCCTCGAATGCATCAAAAAAGGCAGAGAACCCAGTTGTGCAGCTGTTGGATTCAGGAAACCTCGTTCTGAGAGAGGAAAAGAACTTGAGCAGCATATTATGGCAGAGCTTTGATTATCCAGGTGATACTTTTCTCCCTGGAATGAAAATTAGAAGCAACATAAGGACTGGTCAGCATGTGGGAATAACTTCTTGGAAATCCTGGCAAGATCCTACACCTGGTGACTTTTCTATGCACATAGATACTAAAGGCCTTCCTCAGCTGGTTATTACAAATGGAAACAAAAGAATATACAGAGCAGGACCGTGGAATGGGCTTGGTTTTACAGGTACACCTGAACTGAGAGATATCAAATTCATGAAATTACTTTTTGAGCTAAATGAAGATGAAGTCTTCTATGAATACAAAATCCTCAATAATTCAACTCTAATGAGAAGCAGACTGTTGCCCGAAGGCTATCCTTTACGTTTAACATGGTCTTCTCAGAAAAATGGATGGGAAGTTATCATGCCCAGCCCGTCTGACCAGTGTGAAGGATATTCTTTCTGTGGTCCAAATACGAACTGTAACGGCAATGACCCTCGGAGTTGTAAGTGCTTGACCGGATTCACAACAAACTCTTCTGGAGGGTGTTCCCGAGCAATTCGACTTGAATGTAGAAAGGGAGACAGCTTTCAAAAGTATCAGCGAATGAAATTGCCAGACACATCTTCTTCCTGGTACAACAAGACCATGAGCTTAGGTGAATGTGAAAAACTATGTTTGAGAAGCTGCAATTGCACCGCGTACTCTAGTTTGAATATCAGTGACCAAGGAAGTGGCTGCTTGCATTGGTTTGATAGCATTGTCGACCTGAGAGAACTCAGAGAGGGAGGACAAGACTTTTATATACGAGTATCTGTATCAGACCAAGGTATGTGGTTTTCTTTTCCTTTTCTTTTTGGTGAGAGGTATGTTCATATAATGTTGTGTTTTAATAAAAGTTTCTAGAGCATGCTTGTGTGCGGATTATACTCTGATGATCTCAGATCTTACAGTGAAAAATGGCATGGACAAGAGGAAGCTTGCAGGAATTGTGATCGGCTGCTCTATATTAATGATGAGTACCCTAGTACTAGTCGGATTGACCATATGGATCAAGAAGAGGCTGTTGCATCCAGGTGAACTCACAACGACTAGATCTGGAATCTTTATGATCTTAAGTTTTAATTTTAAGGAAAAAGCACTTGCATGCAATTTTTTATAACATTATTATATCATTTTTCAATTAAAACAAGGCACGTATACAAGTTTAATTGATAATAGATGACAGGTGCATATAATTTGTGGATATTGTTTCAACTTATTTTATGAAAAAATCACTCATTTTTTTAAAAAAATATATTTTGTAAGTTTATACTCCCTCCGTTAAAAAATATAAGTCATTTTTAACTGAATCTCACCCCTAATAAAATAGTTATTTACTTTTAAACTAACTCTATTTTTTCATATTTACCGCGATTAAATATCCTATAATAAATATAAAATCATTATCAATAGGGGCACTTTCAAAAAAAAAGTAATGATTACACCTTGAAAGACTAAAAATGTCTTACATTTTTTAACATCCAACTCCTCAAAAAATGCCTTACATTTTTAAATGGAGGGAGTATAATATTTGTTTGAACTTTTAGAAATAATCATAATTTGGAGAAAAAAGTAGATTTTTTATTATTCTAAAAAATTACTTTGAGTAGTTTTTGAAAATAATTTAATATGGTAGATGAGAGAGAATGTTTTACAAGGACGGGATATATAAAGATATTACAAAATTTTAAGATAATTAAATAGTAAAGTATTTTTATAAAACAAAAATCAAGGAAGAATATTATAAAATTTTAAAATAATTAACTAATAATTATTTTTTATTATTATAATCAAATATAAAATAATGTTTGTTTGTTATAAAATCTCCACAAAATAAATTTAATTTATGAAATCTCTCAATTATTTAAAAATTACTGATTTTTTTAATTTTAAACAAACGGGTTCAAAATCTTTTATTACTGGGCTAGCATCACATGATCAAATGTTTGGGAAAAAAAAGCTTAAATTGCCATCCTTTTATCAAAAATATTGATAGCAAAGATATGTAGATTCTGACGTAACATATGTAGATTCTGCCTTTAGATGTTTGGAAGATATATTCTTATTCGTAAATGACCACTTGTAAAGAATTCACCTTCCACCATTTCAGGGAAAGCGATTTATCGGGAGGACAAGAGTGACAAAGAGGACATTGATTTACCAATATATGAATTTTCAACCATTTCTAATGCCACAAATCAGTTTTCAGAGAGGAATAAATTGGGACAAGGCGGCTTTGGACCGGTGTACAAGGTAACGATTTGATTAACCAAGTTATTCCTTTTCCTCAATCACTAAACTTTGAACTTTTTGCAACCCTGATGAACAGGGTATACTACATGATGGGCAAGAAATTGCAGTAAAGAGGCTTTCCAAAACATCGGGACAAGGAACGAACGAGTTTAAAAATGAAGTCTTGTTGATTGCAAAACTCCAACACCGCAATCTTGTGAAGCTTCTTGGTTGTTCCATTCAACAAGAAGAAAAGTTGTTGATTTATGAATTCATGCTTAACGGAAGCCTAGACTATTTCATTTTCAGTATGAGCTCTATAAATCTAAGGCTCTTTTAATAATTTTATCAAAATTTATTCAGTCGTTTTCCATGCTAACCAAGGAGTTTAAATATGTCAGATTCAAAAAAAACTAAGCTATTAGATTGGACTAAGCGATTCCATATTATTGACGGGATTGCTCGGGGGCTCCTTTATCTTCATCATGACTCAAGATTGCGAATTATCCATAGAGATCTCAAAACTAGTAATATTCTTCTTGATAATAATATGAATCCAAAAATATCAGACTTCGGTCTAGCTAGAATTTTTGGAGGAGATCAAACGGAGGCCAATACAAATAGAGTGATGGGAACATAGTATGGATTTGGTTTTTTTTCTTTTATAGTAGTTTTATTTTTGCAATCCCTTTTTAATTTCTCTCTTTATCTTATCATGTTGCAGTGGATATATGCCTCCCGAATATGCAATGCATGGATCTTTTTCTGACAAATCTGATGTCTTTAGCTTTGGAGTAATTGTATTGGAGATAATTAGTGGAAGAAAGAATAGGGGATTTTGTGATCCACATCATCATCTTAACCTGCTAGGGCATGTAGGTTTCATGAATAATTTTCTTTGATGCAACTAGGGTTGGAAATTAAACTCATTCATATAGCTATATTGTTTCTTTTTCAGGCGTGGAAAATTTGGATTGAAAAAAGACCAATGGATCTAATGGATGAACAACTACAAGATTCAGTGGTTTCATCGGAACTGTTGAGATGTATTCAGGTTGGCCTATTATGTGTGCAACAAAGACCAGAGGATAGACCTAACATGTCAACTGTGGTTTTGATGTTGAATGGGGAAAAGTTACTTCCTAACCCAAGCGAGCCTGGGTTCTATATTGGAAGGGATAATCAAACCCTGGCAGATTCTACTATAAGAAGTAGTGAAGAGTGTTCAATTAATGAGGCTTCCAACTCAACATTAGAGCCAAGATAGAACGCCAAAACCAGTTTATTTGAAGCCTTCCAAATGTCTCAAGGTCGCATGTAATACGATTCAAAATAAATTTATGTTCCAAAAGTTGATGAAAATGGACATTTTCCAATTTTTACTATGGCCTTATTTTGGTTGATGATAATTTAGGAGTGTGAGCAAGGGTGTTCAATTGATGCTTATATGATACTAGTCCAATGAATGTGATAAATGCATCATTTTCTATGTTTATTTACAGTTGACTTTAGAATAAGTAGGTGCAGGCTTTAAAAAAACTGGTGAATATATCCTTAGCTCGAGACTTGAGTTTTAACTTGTCAATTATGCTTTTAAAAAAAACAAGTCAATTTTGTTTATTCTAATCACACTGCGTTTGGCGCACACAGAATGAATTTGCGAGGAATAGGAATAAGGAGCATGAAAATTGAAAGGCATTATGTACCAAACAATCCGCAAAAATACCTTAGCCCATTCCCTCTTAGCAAAAGCCAGTGATAATTAGAGCTAGAACCAATAATTTATTACTAGAAAAATGAATTTTAGTGAGGGATAATTAAAGCTAGAACCAGTAATTCACTACTAAAAAAATGAAATTTAACGAGGGATAATTAAAGCTAGAACCACTAATTTACTACTAGAAAAATAAAATTTAGTGAGAGGAAATCCCTTGCTAAATACTATTTTCCCTAACTAAATTACGTTTTAGCGAGGAATTTTGTTTCTCACTAAATTTGTAACTAAAAAAACTTGTTAAATTTAGCGAAAAATTGTATTTTCCTCGCTAATTAGTGATGGATTTAACAAGAAATTAAATCCCTCACTAATCCTTAGCTAATACTTTTAAAATTCGATAATTTAGTGAGGGGTTCATCCTTCACTAAATATGCCTATATTTAAAAATAATGATGCCACATCACTCGCCATGTGTACGTCAACTTGTGACATATCCCCAACAACCTCGTGTCTCGTCAACTGTCATGTCACTTACCATCTCATGCCCCATCACCCACTACATGTGTGATAACTCATCACATGTTATTATCCACCTTACGCCATGTCACTTATTCCTTAACATGTTATATATTCATTATATTTATGCTAAAGTTAAGATTTGAACTCTTAACCTCATATCTTTCAAACCTTATACTCTCCTTCTTTGCCAATTGAACTGAAAGACACCTACAGTCATTATATGAGAAATTAAATATATATTATTTAACTACATAAATATATCAAATAATATATCATAAAAATACACACATATATACATGTTAAATTTTATTTTCAATTATTAATATGTTAAAAATATTTATATTTTATTTAAATTATTCTTTATATTATATTTTTCATAAAATATTATTTTATAAATGAAAATCAACTTAAAATAAAGAAAATATTAAATATTAAATAATTTTATTATGAATATTTTAGTTAATTTTTAAATTTAATTTTAATTTTTAAATAAAAATAATTAATATATAATTAAAAGTTATTGTCAAAAGTTTTTTTTGTAGTAATTAGTTAGGGATATAATCCCTTACCAATTATCTTATTTTAGAGAGGGATTGACAGTCCTTCACTATTTTTCTCATTAATTTTAAGTCAAGTTACAAAATCAATATTTCTCGCTAATTTCCTCACCACTTTGATATTTTAGAGAAGAATAGATGATCATTTACTAAATTTTCTCACTAATTTACATTTTTTTAGTAGTGATTTAGGCGGGCAAGGCATATTCATGTCAGGCTATCCCAAATAAGCCCTAATAGCTAAGCTCAGCTTAAAACTTTTTGGGTTCAAGCTAATCCAAATATTCAAATTATTAATTTTTTAAAATTTAAAAATTATTAAAATTAATTTTTACTTTAAAATTGATTTTTTTTATTTTATAAAAAATATAAAATATATTTTTTGGAAACTTAAAACATGGAGAAGACTTAACTTTTTTTAAAAAAATGTGGGTCTGAAATTTTGAAATGCATTTTAAATATTATTTAGAGATATTTTATAAATTTAAAATAATAAAAATATGATAATGTAGATATTAAAAGCAATACAAAACAATTAAAGGATTCCAAAATCTCCCTCAACCCAAGTCCCTCTTTGAGTCTCTTACTCTCACTCTTTTATAGCTAACCACTTTGTTCTTTTTCTTTTCTAACTGTCTTCCTTAGGCATCTTTAACTTATGTCATCCATCATGGGTTTAGATGTTTTGTCACAAACACCCAAGTCAGCGGCTTGTCGCGAGGCCATTATTATCTTTCAAAAAGCCAGCTCAATAAGTATATCCGTTCATATACCCAAGACCCTTCTCAAGTCCTTTTAATGTGTGATGTAATTCAAGATTTCCTCATACACCTAAGAACACCTAAAGGATTAGGAATCTAACACATGCCCAATAGAAGTTTTTTGACTCCTCCATGGATAGATGCTTCCAAATTATCATTAGGATTACTTAAGGGCTTCTCTATCTTTACGAGGAAAAGAAATGAATGAGCACTTAATTTTAAGCAGTAACGCACTACGACCTATTTGGTATGAATCAAATTATAATAGAACATGCTTAACCATGGAGAAAGCAGAATCATGGTGTTCCCCCCACCCCAAAAAGCAGAATCAAAGATAAATCAAAGCAACTATTAGTTACCCATATTCCTCTTATTTCAAGATCTTACGTGCTCGTTTGGTTCACTGAATGATAGGGAATGGAATGGAATGTAATGTAATGATGATTACATGTATTTATTTGGTATGTTATAAGATGAATATATTTTTTCTAAGAAAAAAATATCAAAATAATGATGAAATGTCCTTTCTAGCCCTAACCACAAAAACAATTCCACCCATCTTCCTCCTTTTCTCGATGATGGCTATCTGGCAATATCACTCTCAATCTGGAAAATCGATACCTTATGCTAGTACAGACCACACAAAGCAGCATAATCAAACCCAAACCATCTAGAAATTAACTCAAAAATAATGAGGAATGGAGGAAGATGCAAATGAGGAGATGAGATTTGAGAATGGTGGTGTGAAAAGGCGATGGCAAGGTGGGCTTGGGATAGATGATCTATCTTTGGCACAACAACCATTAATGGTGGTGGGCTTATGTCGTAGCGGCGATGATAGGGCGATGCAATATGAAGGTGGACGACAGTAGCAGTATGGACAATCAGGAAGGTCTTACTAGTGGTGAAGGAAAGGAGTGTGGCAGCATATCTGATGGTAGATGACAACGGCCAAGGTTTCTTCTTCCTCCTGCTTCTTGTTTGAGAAGTTGATTCAACGAAGGGAGATGGCGAGTGATTGTGTATTTTTCAAGGGCAATAATATCTTTTCCTCATCCTATAATTCTCATTCATATGGTCCAATGATGTAATCTAGATGTTGTCATTTAAGGAAATCAGGATTACACGATGTAATCTCCTTTACGTTACTAAGTCCAACTAAACGCTTGGAATAGGCCAACTGCATCATGATTACATGTAATTGAGATGCATGGAATTGAACCAAACAAGCCATATGATCTTTTATTTACGTTACCGGTTGTCTAGAAAATGTTCAAGGAACAAAAATATCAACCCTACGGCCGTACTATAGGGAACTAATCAGATTAATCAGGAGTTTACATTGGTGTGATTTAATGAAGACCTAATCGCAGTTGATAATTCGCCAAATCAGAGAGCTAACAACAATCAAAGGAACCAAAAATGCGATACAACTATACAAGCACGTACGGCATCTGGTAATTCCAACAATCAATTTGCAACAGGGATTATTTTCGAAGATGGTATGGGAAGCATACTTACTGTTAAAGGTTTCAAAACAAAAGTCCTTGCATCTCTACCCGGGACAGATGACGCCATTGCAATGAGGGGAACCCACATGATTGAATTCAAATTGAATCTGACCAATCAAGAACTCAACTTGAACCTCCCTGTTATACTGCAAATCAACTACACCGCAACAAATAGCAGGGAGTGTGGTGAAGAGTTTAGGGGAGTAATTTAGCATTGGGCTCAAACGAGCGGTGATAAAGTCGTTAATGAGATGGCAGAGAAGGCATTGAGGATCGGAGTTGGCTGCCAAGGACTTGGCTGCATGACTCATCCATCGGAGAAGTTCGAGAGGTTTAGCCCGCAAGAATGATTACTGCAGTGTGGTCCAATGGATTACGAAGATCCCCCCTCTCGAGTAGTGTGCCTGTTATTATTATTTTTTTCTTTTGCAACTACTTGTCAACTGTACAATTTATTGTTGACCGCTGGACCCTTCAAAAATTCAATACTGTACATTATATAATTTTGAAGAACAAAATTTGGTGAATAAATAAAGATCCATTGCTCAGATAAAGAACATCCAAACCTATTATAACACTCCCTCCCTCCCTAAATATACACAGTAATCAAGCCTGTAATTTTGTAATACCTTGTTGAAAGTTATAGAATGCTTTATAATACATTTATATATATTTACTCCTATTTAATGATTTTTTCCTTATCCCCCAATAAATATAGGGCTAAATTTATTATTTTTTTTAATCTGTATAATTTTGACAATTGAGTATTATATTTTTTATAACTTGAGCATTATATATTTAGAGACTGGGAGAGTATAAAAATTCTAATAAATCGTATTCTATTCTCTTTCATTGTAAATGCTGTTGTTGCAATTTCCAAAGTCAGTGTAAATCAAACAACTGATTGACAGGAATTCCAAATTATGTATATCATCCATGTTATAACACATTTTTAATAAATTTAAAAAATATGATTAATTTATTAACTTTGTCTAAAAATAAAATAAACTTTTAATTTTAATTTTTTTATTTAAATAAAAAAATTTTAAATTTTCATTACAATTTCTTTAACAATCAATGACTTTAAATAAAAGTAATATCATAAATATATAATTAATACCCATAAAATATTTTAAGAAGAATCACACGTAAGAACTTTATAAAAAAAATTAGTGTCAAATTAAAAATTTTAGTATTCAAACGGGGAGAAAGAGTACTAAATTTAGAACTTTAGTTATGAAAAAATTTTAAGTTAACGTTTATAAGATCCTTTCTTATCATTTTTTTTTTAATATTTTGTATTAAGGGTCAACATTTTTTTTCCAGGAAGCGCCAGCTGGAGCATATTTCTTGTGCCGTACTAAACTAATTTACTTTCACATTATTTGGAGACAGTCAAGAAAATTGAAACATTTATTGGAAGAATAGAAGTCACAACTCGTATGCTCGTGACTGAGGACGCGGTTAGATTACAGGCCTTTTCTCCCTCAATTTCTGTGTTTTTCTGGGCCAACTGTCAATTGTCAAGCTGACAGCGTCCTTCCTTCCTTCCTTCCAGTTCCCGCAACGCCCAGCCAAGTCACCACTTCATTTTTTCCCATTTGAAGTGAAAGTTCCAATGCTCCAACTTGCACAGTTACTCGTGGACGATTCACGACCTCCTGCGAAAGCCATGGGCAAATTCAATACTCAAAATACAGACCTGTAGATTAGTTATCTTCCGCGATTTCTTCTTGGAAATCCAATCCCTTATGCTTTTCCCCTTTATATATCTCCTTCCTTGCTCTTTCTCATCCATCTCTCTCTTTCTCTCTGCCTCTGAGCGAGCATTCACCCTGTTCTCTTTCCCAGCAATGGCATCTCAAAATCCCGAAGTCAATTTCCAAGATTACTTGCCTATTATGGCCAACAAGCTTCGGGGAGATGGCTTGATAGACAAATTTTGCAATGGGTTTAATCTATTGATGGATTCTAATAAAGGGGTCATCACGTTGGACAGCCTCAAGAGGAATTCCGCTTTGCTGGGGCTACAAGACTTTGCCGATGAGGATCTTCGCTCCATGTTGAGAGAAGGTGATTTTGACGGTGATGGGACCCTGAATCAGTTAGAATTCTGCGTTTTGATGTTCAGCTTGAGTCCTGAACTCATGGAAGGGTCAAAATTGTGGTTACAGGAAGTCCTTCAACATGAACTCAATGATTATGTTTGATTTCCCTCCATCATTATTCCATTTTAATTTGTCTATTTTGGGCAATTGCCCCATATAATTGTAAGAAAAAAGATAGAAATGAAATGGAACAAAATATTCGTTTGACGCTCCTTGATACCCTCCATTATTGCCACTTTACAACCAACCGTAATTTATTTCTTTGACCTTTCGAGGATTGGCATTTGTGTGCGCTTGCGTTCAAACCTTATACACTTCTTTTAACTCTAAATTGGTTATGATTCCGTTCAGATTAGTGGTAGCTAAAACAGTGGACTAAGTGAAAAGGTGAGTCTTCTTGTTGTCATTAGTGGGCTTGACGGTTCATTAGGTACGCGTCGCTATTAGTAAAAGAAAACAAAGGATTCAGTGGACTTTGGTAGCTCATTAATTCTCTTTATTGACTATGATCGCCTCCGCGTGTGACTGTGAACTTGCCTCTGCATAATGATATTTATGGAAGTATCGATCTAAGGAAGCAGTATTTCACAATATATTTTTCCAACATGTGTTTGTGCGGATTAGGTTGCCCCTGTTCTCATTCATGCTTGCTTTCACCTAAAAGCTAATGCATGGCCGCCGGGTGAGTGTGAACAAGGGGACTTATAGGAATACAATCTTATTTCCATTTTTTGATAGTAGCTGTCGGAAAAAAGAGATGAGTAACTTTGTTATGTTGTTTGGAAGTCGACGCCCATTTGAGTCTAGCAAGGTTTCCTTTAATATTACATGTGGACCAATAATGCACCAGACTTTCCCACAAGAAATCTGTTTTTCCAGCAGCTGGTGATATTTTATAAAGGTTGCGTGATGTTTTTGGTCTACATAGCCACTCTTCTTTTCCACTTTGACACTTCATAGTGGAATACTTGTTTCAGTTGCTGAATCCGAATGTTTCTTTGAAAGCATGGAGCTTCATGATTGTCAATCGAGGAGAAATCTATTTTATATGCTCTCCATTGCCCAGTTTTTATTTTGGTTTTTTCCTACTTCAAGTGCAGCTGATTACCTGTCCCAATTTCAGTCAATTTCTGGAGGTAAGACCCTAGTTTCTGGAGATGGAAGTTTTGAGTTGGGTTTCTTTAGTCCCGGTAGTTCGGCAAACTTTTACTTGGGAATATGGTACAAGAAAATCCCAGTAAAAACTGTTGTGTGGGTTGCCAATCGAGACAATCCAATCAAGGACAAGTCTGGGACGTTGAGATTAGACAGAGAGGGAAACCTCGTACTTCTCAGCCAGAACGAGACTGTTGTTTGGTCAGCAAACCCAAGAAGAAAGGTCCTGAACCCAATTGCTCAGCTTCTTGGTTCTGGAAATCTAGTATTAAGAGATGAGAAAGATGAGAGTCCAGAAAATTACTTGTGGCAGAGCTTTGACTACCCTTCTGATACATTGTTACCTGGAATGAAGCTGGGGTGGGATCTAAAGACTGGTTGGAACAGGAGTCTCTCTTCTTGGAAGAATTGGGACGACCCTTCTTCCGGAGACTTCACCTGGGAACTTGTAAGCAAAGATTACCCCGAATTAGTGATGTGTAAAGGCTCATCAGAGTACTACAGAAGTGGACCCTGGAATGGCCTTGGGTTCGATGGTGCCCCAGAATTAAAGAACAATCCTCTTTTTGGGTTCAATTTTGTCTCCACTGAGGATCAGGTGTATTATACCTACTACCTTAAGAAGAAGTCAATGATATCAAGAATTGTCCTGAACCAAACCATTTATTCCCGGCAACGCTTCATATGGATCGAGGAAGCTCAAAGTTGGAGGCTTTATGCATCTGTTCCAAGAGACAACTGCGATTACTATAACCGTTGTGGCCCTTATGGAAATTGTGTCATGGGCGAGTCTCCAGTTTGCCAATGTTTAAGTGGGTTTAAGCCCAAATCACCACAGAACTGGGACATGATGGACTGGACTCAAGGGTGTGTACACAGTCAACAACTGAGCTGCGAGGACAAGAATAAAGTAGGATTTAAGAAATTTAGCGGGCTGAAATTTCCTGACTCTACGCATTCTTGGGTCAATAGGAGTATGAATCTTCAAGAATGTATGGAGAAGTGCTTGGTAAACTGTTCTTGTACAGCTTATGCAAAGTCAGATATCAGAGGAGGAGGTAGTGGATGCATTTTGTGGTTTGGTGACCTCATGGATATTAGACAGATTTCTGGTGATGGCCGAGATTTATATATTCGCATGAAAGGTTCTGAGATAGGTAAGGTCTTGATCTTTGATTATTTTATCTACTTTTGCCACAATTTAATACATGTTTTCCTCCCTTTCCGGGGCAATACTTGGTTTACTGATTCACAACTGTTTCTCTACTTAATATTTCTTTTGACAAATCATGAAGCTGAGAAAGATGGACATAAGATGAAGGTGGCTGCGATAATCATCATTGTTGCCTCAGTTGCTGTGATAATATTGATTTTCTTCTACATTGGCAAGACCATGAAATTGTTTACAGGTACTCGTAAGTTTTAATGAATTGCCATTGCATACAGAACAAGATTAATCAACATCGATGTCAGCTCAGTTAGTTTACTTAGTCCCCCCTTTCTCTCTCATACAATATTTAACCCCAAAATGCTAAAATTAAGAGCTTACTAACAGTCTTTTCAATGAGCACTACTAGTATATAAATTGAACATCCATTCACGCATTTTCTCCAAAATCTGTAATTTTGCTAATATTTTTTTTCCCCTCTTCCTTTGGTTATAGAAAGTGTCTGCAAATCATTTGTTAAATTGTTACTATGATCAACATTATGGCAATCACAACCTAGAAAGCATGTAATTTTAATTCTATCAAATAACTGTAATCTTAAATGATTTCTTCTTTCCATCTTATGTGATCTTTTAATTTTAAATTCAACCCATGACTTTGACGCGCATTACTGGACCTTTCTGTTTCTTCTGTCAATTTATCATCTAACTTATTGGGATTTCAGTTGGATAAGAAGCAAACAAGATGTGCTTTAGACGTTGTTTGATAACACATTTTGGCTAATGAAATCAACCTTCCAATTTTATTGTTCACATTACATCAGAGGAAACAGATGACAACCTGATGGCACGGTATAATGATGAAGACGACCAAGAAGATTTGGAGCTTCCTTTCCTTGACCTTCCCACAATTGTCAAAGCAACTGATGACTTCTCGATGAGCAAGAAACTTGGACAAGGTGGATTTGGTGCTGTGTACAGGGTAATTATGAAGCACACTAGTCTAACGAAATATGATTCTCCTTAATATTTATGCTGATGTTATATGTGACTTAATTTTAGGGCATGCTTGTGGATGGAAAAGAAATTGCGGTGAAGAGGCTTTCACAAAGTTCTGGACAAGGGTTGAATGAATTCAAAAATGAAGTCATATTGATTTCCAAGCTACAACATCGAAATCTTGTTAAACTTCTTGGTTGTTGCATTCAAGGGGAGGAGAAAATGCTTGTTTACGAGTACATGCCCAACAGAAGCTTGGATTCCTTTATTTTTGGTTTGTATCTATCACTACATGATAATAATTTATTCTTTTACGCCGAGAAGCTTTCCATATCTTTTCTCCTTCATATTTTCTCCTCTCACTTTTACTTTATTCATAAGCTGAAAATGAATTAATCAAACCTGCATTTTGCTAGATCATGTAAAATGCAAGATTCTAGATTGGCCTAGGCGCTTCAACATTGTTTGTGGAATTGCTCGTGGGCTTTTGTATCTTCATCAAGATTCTAGATTGAGGATCATACATAGAGATCTTAAAGCAAGTAATGTTTTGCTTGACAATGAGTTGAATCCAAAAATTTCAGATTTTGGCATGGCTAAAACTTTTGGAGGAGATCAGACTGAAGGAAATACAAACAGAGTGGTTGGAACATAGTAAGTATTCATAATATGGCTTATGATTAACATTTACCCCTAACTAAACATATCTTGACCATTTTTTTTAATAATTTTTTCAGTGGTTACATGGCACCTGAATATGCTATTCATGGATTATTTTCTGTAAAATCAGATGTGTTTAGTTTTGGTGTATTATTATTGGAGATAGTAAGTGGAAAGAAGAATAGAGAATTTATCCATTCAAACAAGAGTCTTAACCTCATTGGTCATGTAAGTGTCAAAGGAACAAGATCTTTTCTCTGTTACACTTCATAAAACCTTAAAAGTTTGATAAATATTTGTATGTATCAGGCATGGAGACTTTGGACAGAAGGCAGGCCTTTGGAGTTAATTGATTCATGCTTGGATGATTTAATTGATATATCTGAAGCATTGCGTTGCATCCATATCAGTCTTCTATGTCTGCAACAACATCCTGAAGACAGGCCAAGTATGTCTAATGTGGTTGTTATGTTAAGCAGTGAGAGTGTCTTGCCTGAACCCATGGAACCTGCTTACATCATGGAGAAGAAATTTCCTGAAGCAGACTATCCAAGCAAGAATCAGTTTTCTTCAACTAATGAGTTAAGTTTTACCATGTTAGAGCCTCGGTAGGGGATAATTTATGTTACCTCCTGTACTGTTCAACTAATCTAATATAAGATGGCATGTTGCATATTGCTTCTATCCTCACTTATTTTACTTTGAACCCACTGATACGATACATGGGAATCATTAGGGGAGTGTTTCAGCACAACTATGACTTTGGAAAGCCTGACTGCCAAGCTTTCCACTTTTGGCTTACAAACTTTTCTACTTTAAAGCAGATTGGCATGTAGACACAATATTTATGAATCTGGGATGTGCTCCAAGTACCTCGTTTATTCCTGAGCAATTAATAGTTAAGGTCAATTAATCACATGAAAGCACGGTCCATTTGATCGAATATTCCAAATTTCAGGCAGGGACAAGGCCAGAATGTACATTTAGGCCTACATATATCAGTGTCTGTCAATGATCTCGGAAAGAGGCGGACAATGTGAGGAGACAATACAAAATGAAGAGTCGCATTTCCAACAATGATGTATTTTTTTTTTTTTTTTGGCCAGCAACAATGATGCTGTGGTTGAAACATCAACTACTTCTAATTATATAGCTTGGTATTAATTGTTATTGATTAAGGAAACCACTTTTCTGCTTTAGAGCAGAGGACTGGCGTGCAACCAGCATTCGTGCATGTTCCAAGTGCTTCGTTAGTTTCTGATCAATCAATGGTTGAGGTCAATTAATTAATTACTTAAACGCCAGATTAATTTCATTAACCGTCTGTTTGGAATGTGAAGAAAATAGGGAAAAAAGAAAGCTAATCGGGAAAAAAAAAAAAAGAAGACATTTTTCCCTTCCTAACATAGTTTCCCCTATCTAAGCAGAAATTAGAGGAAAATAAGAGTGAAAAATGTCCCTTTTCTTTAATTTTCTCTACTCCTTATTTTATTTTCATGCCAAACAAAGCTGAAGGTTCTAAATACTGAGCAGGCATGGGCGTGATTTCAAGCTGGTATGTAATTTAATTGTCAAATTAACGAAGATGGCAAGAATGTGCCAACCCGTTAGGTCACAGGGCTCTTATTAAGTTGGTTTCTTGTTGTAATTAGCATCAGCACAACCCCTATTCTATTCTAGGTCCACAAATTGATTGTAGTTGTCTGTCGAAGATTTCAAGAATGTGCCAACCCTTTAGGTCGCAGGGCTCTTATTAAGTTGGATTCGTTTTGTAATTATCAGCACAACTGTACGCTGTTGTTGATCATCAATTATAGTCATATTTTCATTCCAAGGAAAGAAAGAAAAACGAGAAACCTTATATATATATATATCACCTTTTGTTCTTAATGTACAGCTCTCCAATAGATTGTTGCTGCATGTACTTTTTGTTCCAACCCAAAATCAACTCTCCCTTCTAACAGCGTTTACCTTCTGTTATCTATCGAAAATTTAGAACGAATGAAAAACACAGTCCGCCACCTTCTCTGTACCTTCTTTATCTGTCTCCACAGTCTTTCTTAATTATAAACTTTAAATTCATCGGTGGCCTCATTGATATGATTAGAAGAGCATCATTACCATGGATATTATCAAATCATATTGGTCTGTAAAGCCACCGCTTAAGTTCAGCGAATTTTGCAGGATGATGTGAGCATGTCATAAGGACCAGGTTGCGCCATGTTACTGTTTACTCTTGTGTGATCTATTTTGTATATTTTTCCTCTTCAGGACAAGATTCATGAGTAAGTATTAATCCTGAACAAATCTTCCGTATATCGACTGAACAATTCCAACCATTAGACCCATAAATAAAGTAATATTTGGCTTTCTATTTGACATAAATAAGGGCGGCTGCAAGTTTGAATAAAACCTTGATCAGATTATCCTATGTATTTTATGTAATTTAAAAGTAATTCATATTTAGGTGTATAATGTGAATAAAAAATTTCCCGTACAATGCACGAAAAAAAAAATCACTACATAAAGTATCATTTCATATTAATGTATCTGATAAATACCGCAGCCTTTGTATCTAGCTACCTTAGTTCTTGTCAATTCATTTAATTTCCTTTAATTTTATTCCATTATAAATAGCTTGTTTACGTGTGTGAATATATTAGTTTTAACTTGTAGGAAATGAGTTATTTATATTATGTGGATTGTAAGGTGGTTGAGATATGTAGCAGCTGACGAAGACAATTGATTTTGAAGCGGAAGAGACGGCAAGGACTCCAACAAGGGAATAGCAACGTGCGAAAACGCCAAACCTGGGATTATTGTGCAGCGTTGCCTGAAAGCACTAATTGAGATTCAAAGGAACACCTACCTGCTCCTTTCCATACATGCAGACCAACCTGCAGAGAGATGTTTTTCACGTCTTCTCCTTCCATCGGTCGTTTTAACCAAAATTAATTTCATATTCTCCAATTCCATTCCAAGTTAATTATGTACTCCTTCCCATTTAAAATATAAGTATTTTTTCTCTGTTCAATCTTAATTCAAAATATAAACAATTTAGTACATCTAAAAAATATTTTTTTTCATTTTACCCCTAATATTTATTAATTTAAATATTTGCATAAATGTATTTCTTACTCATCATAAGTGCATTGGTAATTGAAACTCTGAGTAAAAAAAAAAAAGTAATACTCCCTCCGTCCCAAATTATAAAGCATTTTTAAAAGAGTTTCTCCATCTTAAAATATAAGATACTTTGGGTAAATTGTAAATTAAAATTTCATTAAATGCATCAATTTTAATATTATATTTTCTCTATCTATAATTAATTTATGTTTCTTCTCATTTCAATATATTAAATGATGGATATTTTTTAACATTTATATTTTTATTTTGGAAAGATAAAATTGTTGAGCGTATTTAATAAGATTTATTGATATATGAGATTTTATCTAAAAATGTGTTATAATTTGAAACAAAGAAATTATATATTTTCATAAAAATGAGAACTTTATTAATATCCAGTTTTTGAAAAACTATTTAAATTTTGAAGCACGGGGAATATATTTAAGTTTGAGAAATCCAATTTATATTAAAGTAGATTAATGATTGTCTTAAGTCATACGTGTGCGTTTGTGGCGGGGGGAAATCACATGTCAGCAGTTCTCAAGTATGCATATCACCCAAAAAACAATCACGACATGAGTTAATCAATTCCTCTTGAATGTCTATTCCTTTCTTTGACATAAATTTTCAAAAAATAATCATATTGCCTATCTTTAAAATAAAAAATTCTCATTATTGTAGTTGTCGAAGCCGGTGAACCAGAGACCATAATGAGTCCTTGGATCAAGTTGAATCACTGTTAATGAAGATAATGATTATTTTATTTTTGACCAAAAATATTTAACATGTGACAACTAGAGGTGAAAATATGGGCCAACTCGATCCATATGGGGTGGCCCATATGAGTTAAGAAAAATATGAGTTGGAATGGGTTCAACTCATTTTTATATGGGTTGAAAAAATTTGAACCCAACCCAACCCTTAATGGTTGGTGGGCTAAATGGGTCTACCCTTCAATTTATTTTTAAAAATGTATTTTTTATGATTTTTTTTAAAAAAATATACTTACATAATAAGTTTTAATTTGATATTTCTTCAAGATTCATTCTAAATATATCAAAATATTATTTTATAATGTTTGTATAAAATATATAAATTGATCAGTTAAGTAAATCATATCTGATATAGTTTATATTCATAAAATTTTCTCATTTTCTCCTTTTTTTTAATTTTTTTAACAGTAATATGGGTTAAACAGGCCAACTCTAACCCATCAGAGTTAACCTAGATGGTTCACAAGTTATATAGCCCGAGCAAAAAAAATCTGTTTTTAGTTGGATCAATTTTTTTCAACCCAACCTGACCTTTATGATCAATTATTCGAGCCAATTCACATAACTCAACTCATATTCCCAGCTCTAGTGACAACTAATTCTCTGATTGCCAGAGCTTTGGCTAGCGGCTAGTTGTTAGACCTTTGGTCGATAACTGGTCATCGGATATCTAGCAGCTGGCGCTGGTAGGATTTTTTTTTTTAAGATGTGAAATATGATTATTTCACTTTATGTAAAAAGAAAAAAAGGAACTAAAATTTTAAGAAGAATTAACCCATTTTATGATTTTTTTAGAAAATAATAATAAAATCTCCCAAATTATATAAACGATGACAATCTAATTTCTTAAAATGTCATTATTTTGTTAAAATTTTTAGGACTTCTATGTTAATAAATTTCAAAGTGAAAAGGTCATTTTACCTTTAAGTAACAAGTCTCAATCACAACTTTCATTTAAAAATAACAAGTTTTATTTTGTAAATAATAAGAATTGAATAAGAAATTACAACTTATCAAGTGTAATTTCTGTTATTGAAAAAAAGCTCCGTTTAAAACTTTTGTTTAAAAAATAATAATTTTGTTCTATAAATCACAAGAATTAAACAAAAAATTATAACTTGTTAAGTGTAAATTTTGTTATTAAAAAAAAGGCTCTTAAAATAATAAAATTCAATCACAAATTTTATTTAAAGAATAATAACTTTGATTCAAAAAATTACAAGAATTAAACAAAAAATTACAACTTGTCAATAAAAATAAAATAATTTTTTTATTTAAAATTTATTAACACAAAAGTTGTTAAAAATTTTAATAAAATTATAATATTTTAAAAAATTATATTGTCATTTATACAATTTTGGAGTATTTTTATTGTCATTTTCTCTTTCTCTCTCTCTCTTTAAAAAAAACGTGATATGATAATGTCCTCACATGCCATCGTCCCATTGCCCCTTAAGCATCATTTTCCACTGAACTCCATAACAGCATGACTAATGCACACTCTTAACTCTTAATTTCCACACTGTGCAACACTAGCGTCTCCACCGTCACACCCGGCCCAAATAATCCGAACAACACTCCCCATTCTAGTCCTTCTCCGGTGGTACCTTTTCCTTCCCTCAACGACTTCTTCCTCAACTCATCCAGCACGAACAAAACGGACGTGCTCCACATGTTCCCATACTCGGCCAGAATGTGCCTTGTCGCTTGCATCTTCTCCTTCTTAAGCCCTAACTTCGCCTCCATCTTATCCAGAATGGCCCGTCCACCCGGGTGCGCAATCCA